ACAGGATTATGCTCCTCAGAATATCTCTATTTTCTTCCCTCAGTGATTTAAAAAATTTTTAAAAAATCAGATTTAGATAGATTCCTGAGGAAGACTCTCTCTCACTCTTACAAATGTCGTTCCTCTCTCAGGACACTGTGGATCCCAAGACACCCCAATATTGTAGTAATGGAAGGTTCTTAAAGAAAACAGTGAGGGTTCCTTTGAGAGGGCCCAGGTTCAACCTCGTGGCACGTCTGAGAATGGTGGGGGAGGTTGGCAGGACACATGTTAGGATCTGCTGATGTCTATTTGGAATTCATTGAAGGAGAAGACGTTTGAGTTTTATATTAAAATCCCAGAATATCTTAAAAAATAAGGAGCCGGGCATGCTGGGGTGGGTAGTGTAGGTAGCAGATAGCTATTAGATAATACTGTCTTGTAGCATTCTCAGGGTCCCGTCACCAGTAGCAGAATTAGGCTGGGAAACTTAATATTCCATCAGAGAAGTAACAGAAAGATCTGTTTATAGCAGATATGGCCTCCAGTCTCTTCTGCATAGGACCTCATTCTATTCCTGAGATGGAGAACACCGGCAGGGGGGAGAGGATGGTTGAGAGGAAGGGACTCAGAGGTACAAAGAGCATTCTTAGGTCTTTGAAAGCTATAACCAGCCCTCGGCAAAACTGAAGCAATTACAAGGTCTGTCTCCAACATGTCCCTTCCCCGCACCGCGCCCTTCCATCTATTGACTGATCCCTCCCAGGTACCCCGTCTCCTTCATGAAGGGCGCCTACTCCCAACTGCCACCCCTTCTCCTCCGAGGCAAGGTCAGTGAACTTCTGGGCTCAGCCCCACATTGACGAGGCCATGTGGCCTGTGACAGGCACCTCTCTGCATGTCTACCTTCCTCTTTGGTGAAAATGGACTGCTCCTAGTCGCATGTGGCTGGAAGGGTCGTGCGGCACAAGTGAAACCCACGTGGGAACTGTGGTCAAGGACAAGGGCGAGAAGTGAGAAGACCACACTGCACCCTGATGACTCTTTCCCACCCACACCCACGCTCTCCTGTGGCACAGATGGTGGCGAGAGCCCCTACCAGCCTGCAGAGAGCCATCTTGGCTCCTCTCTGGCTCCTCGTGGACAAGGAAGGTTTGGAAGGTCTGGCTCTGGCTCACGGAGGCTGATCTTTGTCGGCAGAACACGTTGTTCCTTGAGGGAGGGATGAGATGCGAGCAGAGAGCAGGCGGCATGTTGAGGAGGGGCTGAGGCCAGGGGTCCTGGGGGGCATCGGAGCCCACTGTGCAGGTGCCTGCCCTCCCTGGGGCCTGGGGACATGCTGTCCTGGGAGGGATCAGCACCCAGTCTGAAGCTGGAGTCAAGGGAGCAAGCCTCCCAGGATGGCGGGAAAGGAGGAGAGTGGTCCAGAGACCTGGCTATGCGAGCTATGGTAAGGACTCAGCTTCCCATATAACCATCCAGGCTGCAACAGTAGAGTTTTCGTGAGAAACTGCCTGCTCTAACTGTGTGCCCTTGTCTCCTGCCTGCCTTTATTATAGGAGAAAAGAAAGTAAAGCAAAGGGGGGCTCTAGCATCGACGGACAAAGCGGACAACACTGTCTCCAAATCTATTACTGTCTGATGTCACCAGGAGGGCTGGAGATTACCTCTGTATTCTTTGACAATCAGGTGTACAACTCCTCCTCCATGTGGGTGGAGGAGTTTTTGACCTTAGTTGGTCCTCTCCAGAACTGTCACAGTGGCCATCCTATTTGGGGGGGGGGGCTTCATCTACGAGTCAATCCCATGTTAGTGTGGACTCGGGTCAACAGCTAGTCAGAAGTTACCTCAGTGGCCTGTGCTACTAAAGGACTCTTCTTCCCAGACAATTGGAGATACCGATATCCCCGATTCTTAGCTTTACATCAACATCAACGGACCCTCTCAAGAGTTAGTCCCATTTATCCTTTTCTCGTAACATAATTTCCAACTAGCTCCCTTGCTTCTGTTATTTTCTACAAAATTAACTATCACCCTTTGGAAGTTGTTTAAAGACGACCCTAAAGTAATTTAAAGAACACTTGTGACCTTGCCTGCATTTCACTGCGATTACTCAGGCCTATGTCCTACTCAACAGGAAGTAGTTATTGATTTGACTTCACCTCCCCTCATTCCCTGGGTGATTCAGAGTCTCCAGTCCTTGATGGGGGATATTAGGTATTAACTAGTAGTGAGGTGGTCTCCAACTCTCCTGGTTCCCCTTTTTATTTTAAAAGAATCCTCAGTGTCAAGGATAACAGGAGTTATTTCACAAGCTTTTCTGGTCATAAGGGCTACCTGGGCACTGGCTGATGTGACTGAGTCCCAGACCTCTCTTTGCARAGTCTGATCACTCAGGCCTCAGGTGGGCCCTGTGATCTGTGTTTGCAGCAGGTGCACCTAGGTAATCCTGATGATCAGGCCTGCCGGGGATTCCCCAATGAGACCCAACCCCTTATTATGCTTATAAAGAATCTGGGATTTAGGAAGGGTAAATGCCTCATCTAAGTTACATGCAAGGTCCAGCCTTGGAAAAGGACAGATCACAGTCAAAGTCTCTGTGCCTGCAGGTTCCATGCCTGTGCGTCATCAGGAGAGACCTCAGACTGTGAAGATGACATATGGCTCCATCATGTAGCTACTTAGGGATGCAACTGGGCTGGAACCTGGATCATCGTAGGATGCTGCCTTCCTGCAGAGGCCTGACTTCCTGTGGGTGGTGGAGCCCTTTCCCTGGGGCCAGCACAGCCCCCACACAAGGGGAGGCAGAGAGAACTACTTACTGTCTAAGGCTGCCTCTCCCCTCTGCCTCTTTTCCTGGTCCAGAGTGAGACCTGGTGTTTGCTGACAAGAGGGAGAATGAGTCACCTCCGGCCACTCACTGTCACTGGGGTGACATATAACTTTGCAGGTTTGCGCACAGGGAGCAGCCACCTCCCAGCCCTGCATGCAGCATGGCCACCCAGCCATCTGGCTGGGCCCACAGGGGTCCCACTGGCTCAGTGGGGCTCCCTGAAGCCCGTCAAAACAAGAGGGTCCTGGAAGGCCATGTTTTGCTACTGGCTGGACTTCGGGGCTCACGCTGCTCCCTGAGCTCTGTGTCGCTCCGGGGTTTCTGTGGTTTGGCATTTCCTTCCTCACCCTGTTAGAGCTGGAGCAGCCGCAGTCTGGCTGTTGGTGATACSGTAAGAAGCCATACCGCAGAGAGCGCAAGGCCTCGTGGAGATCTGAAGCAGCTTTGTGAGCTGGCCTGAGTGCTGTGGGACGGGGGTGTTGAGGTGAGGCTCAGCCTGCCTCCCAAGGCCTCGCTGAAGTGTCACCTCCTTCCTTGATGAGGCAGGAGTGTTTTAAACTGCAACCCAGCCCAGCCCTGCACGTGCACGCCCCCACCCAGCCCCCCACCACTGCGTGTATATAATGGCATTTCCTTATCCTGAAGTCACCTCCTTATTCACCGTTTGTCACCTGCCTTGCCCTTCAAGCCATGAGCTCCTGGGTCTGCTCTTCTCACTGGTGCACCTTGAGCACCCAGCAGATTCCCTGGCCCTAAGGTCCTTAGTGCATATTGTTGAGTGACTCGGCATTGAATGGGAGTGGCCGCTGCAGCCAGCACCTGACCTGGCCACGGTGCAGGACGAGAGCAAGGCTCCCCGACCACAGTAGGAGACCTTCAGCATGCCCACCTCCTCACTAGCAACCATTTAAAGGAGCCACAAATAATCATGTCACAAACATTCTGATGGCATGATCCGGAGGCGCCTAGGGAGCCATGGACCCTGCTTTAAAACACCCGGCCGGGGGGTTGCTGAAGTCTGAGTTCCAGCAATGATGTGGTTGTGGAGGCTTAAACATTGTCCTCCTTCTTTGTCCTCTTAAGCTCCCGGTATGTTATCAAATTCACCTGCCTGGCCACTGTCCTGGGCTGCCGCAGTTCCCTGGGAGTGGAAAGGAGTGGGTGGGAGTCGGTGGAGGGATGGAGGGAGCAGTGGATCTCAAGGGCTGCACTTGCTAACTCAGCAAGTGTGTCTTAGACCAAAATTGTCACCTGGAGATGGTCATTAGGTGAAGGAACGTAGATGGCAGGTCACTGTCATAGATGGCAGAGCTCAACAGTGTCTACTCCCAGGGAGCTTCCCACACAGAGAAGTAACCCAAGGACGGGGACATCCAAAGGACGCTGGCTTTGACACCAGAGAGGCTGGCTTGGAGGGTGCTGTGTGAACTGGGGAGACTGGGAGACTGGGAGACTGGGAGACTGGTGGGCACCCACATTACTCTGCTTCTCCTTTTCAGTCCTGGGGATGGAACCCAGGGCCTCACTTGTGCTAGACAACCATAGGACCACTGAGCTATGCCCCCAGCCCCCGTGTCCCTCTTGTTGTTGTGGCCTCTATTGCTTTTTCTGTAGAATGAAGTTGGACCCGACCGTCTCCACGGCCCCTCACAGTTGCACCAAGGGAAGAGCAGAGTTTGTGATAAAAAATATGCAACGGGCAGCTGATTCCTTGAGGGCCAGGAGATGGTCTGATGGATCCTGGGACTAAGACAACAAAACAGAACAAGGATGTTTGACCAAGAGTCAAGGGACGTCATCCTCAGGAATAACAGCACCATAAACTCTGCCCCTGTAGTATCCAGATCCCAAGGCAGCAGCATCTCAGAGGAGGGGACCAGGTTTGAGCTGACAAGTCCCAAGGACGGGCTCAGAGCTAGATGGAAGGCTCAGCCAGACGCAGGTCAGCCCAGGGGCAGAAGCTGGGGGACCAGCAGTGCAAGCTCTGATGCCAAGGTCAGGTGACAAGTTCTGGGAGGAGGTGAGGAGACCCCCTTGGAGTTGAAGGTGTGAGTCTGGCTGGGGGCCCTCAAAAAGAAGGCTGGTCAAAGTTGGCCCAGGGGCTCTGAAGTCGGAGAGTCCAGGTCACTTCTGGGCTCAGAGGAAACCTTGAGGCCAGGAGATGATGTTGTTTCTTTTTAATTTGTAGGATTCTCAGCAAGTTAAGTCAAGACATCAACAAGAACGAAGAGAGAAGGAGCATCTTCACACGCCGGTGAGTGGGGCACTCAGGTGGGGCTCGGGGTGGATCTAACCAACCCAAGAATTTTTGAACCCAAGTTGAACCCTCAAAGGAAGCCACAGAACTAGTTTTGTTCCACTGTTTGACCTGCAGGGATCCTTTAAGTCCTGGGAGTTTTGAAGATGGTGCCTGAGGAGGGGAGGGGTCCCCTCTTCCTGCCCTGCCCTGTCCTGGCATCTGRGACATCAGGGGGATGTCCCCCCAAGATGGCAGGCAGTTGCAAACTCCCAGCRGTTCCACCAATGTGGCTTTGGTGGCTTCCAGAATTGGGGGGCAGCAGAGCCCTGGTTGCCAGCAGGACACCCTTCCGGGCAGTGAGGCATGCTGTCCACTGGGGGCTCGTGGGCAGGGGGGCACTGAGAGAGGGGCGATCCTCAAGTTGCAGGACCCTTAATGCCATGCTCTTTGCCTTGCAGACCCCAAGTCCAGCGGTTTCCAGAAGAGACAGGTAAGGGTGTTAGGGCTTAGAGGCCACTGCTTTAGGGGTGATAGATTCCTCAAGTCTTCTGTCCTCTGATTCCCAGGGCTCCTCGGGTGCCAGGGAGGTGACCCTACTCATTTGCCTGCCCGTAAGTTTTTACCTAGAGAAAGCTTGGGTCTCAGATGTGTGCAGGAAAGATGGCATTCTGCAGGATGCCTGGATTAAGGCCACTGGGCTCCTTGGCAGAGACAATGAGGGATTCTGGGAGCTCTGTGGGGCTGTTGGAAACACCCAGCCTTTGCCTGAGCACCTGCCCTGAGCCAGGTCCCCTGCTTCTGTAGATTTAAAGCAGTTTTCCACTGTTAAATTGCATGTAGTGTTGAAAGGCAGATTCCTGGGCCCCACCTAGTCCTGCTGAACAGGAAGCCCTAGGGATAGGGTCCCAGAGGTCTGCATATTTTAAAACACTCTGAGATGACTTCTATGGACGTGAAAGTTTGAGAGTCATTGTTACTTTCTGGTAGAGGGAGCTCCAACATAGAATTCCAGGGTGATAGTAAGTTGCTATCGTAGTCTGTTTTCTGTTACAATAACAAAAAACTTGAGGCTATGAGATTTATAAAGGAAAAAAGGTTCATTTTGTTCATGGTCCTAGAGGRCCAAGAGCACAGTGCTGGCATTTGCTCAGCTTCTGGAGAGGCCTTCATGGCAGGTGTCCTCACCCAGTGGGACCCTTGAGAAAGTGAGGAGGTGGCACATGTGGAAGTGACCGAAACACCATGGGTAATCTTGCTCTAGAGCAACTTGCTTTCGTGGTGACTAATCCAGTCCCATGAGACTCAAATCGCTCCTGTGAGACCCGGTCCTRTCTCAAGAGACCTAACCAATCTCTGCAGAAAGACCTCAATCCATTGGGAGGGTGGAGTCCCCAGGACTGAGGACCTCTTCCAGGCCCCACCCCCGCCCAACTCCACTGCGGGATCCCCTCAGCAGCCAGTGAGGCTAATGGCATCCAAACTGGTACAGAGGGAAGGACGCAGGGAGGGACCGCCGGTGGGGGAGCCGCTTTGACTTTCCCTCAAGATGGCTTCTTGGGTGCTGATGACGGGTTGTCTCTTCCCACAGAAAGCCATGAAGAGGATGGGGGCTGGTCATCCTTTGTGAGTATGGCGGGGCTCTCCTCTGTAATAAGAAGGAGAGGCCGTGCCCAGGGGGACAGCCTCTGATAAGGTGGTGGCTACCCTGAGGCTCAGAGTGTGTGCTCTGCCCAGGGCCAAGCGGTAAACGGCTTGGCTTTGCAAGCCCTAGGTCCTGCCTCCTGCTCAGCCCTGCCACTGAAACACGAAGCAGCCACCCACAGTGTGCCACAGGCCAGCCTGGCTGGGTGCCCACAAAGCTCCAGTCACAAAAGCAGAAGGGGCTGGACCCGGTCCCCGGCAGGAGTTTGCCGACCACGCCGTCACTCACCGTTGTCTCTCCCACAGAAGTCCTTTCCCCGTCCCTGTCCCAATTCCACGGTTTCCTTCCTAGAGCTCGAGGCTATAGTGATGTTCCTCGTGGTCTTACKTCTCCCTTGGTGGCCCAGAGAGAAAGGGATTTCAGAGTAGATCATCATCCCTGAAGAGACCTCCCCACTGCAGCTGACTTTTACATTTGAGGGGTCACAGTGGCCCCTTTTCAGGGTCTGAAGGGCTCTGTGCATCCCCTCCCCACAAAACACACCCAGCGCCCACAAAGCCAGACTCAGCTCAGAACCCTGAAGGATCAAAGTCCAGTGTGTCCAAGGAGCAGTTCAGGAGCCACAGAGCCCCCTGGGGTGCGCCTTGTGTAGCTAGCGCTCATGGTCAGTTAGGGGCAGCCCCGGGCCAGGCCGCCTGACCCCGCGTTGAGCCGTCTTTCTGGTAAGCGCCACCTCTGGGGCCGACAGAGAGCAGTGCCCGCTGCCCTGCCTTGGTGGGGCTCCTGTAAATGAAAACATTACATTTGGTCTTTCTATGGGAAAACAAAGGGACACAACAGATTTATTTGGTACAGAAGGGAAAATAAGGCTAGAGCTTCCAAAACAAAAACTGTCTGTGTTTTTATGGAGAAGCAGTCTGCCTCACACTCCTGCACTCAGCCTGAGGCAGCTGTTCCCACGTCTCTGTAAACCCCGGATTTCCAGTTGCTGGTGGCTATAAAACTCCATAGCTCCGTTAGTGCCCCGCTCTGCTTGGGGACTACAGGGACATAAGCAGAGATGAAGAGCCCAACCACGTGAGCATACACACGGCAGAATAAGGTCACCAACAAAACCCAGGCACACATTAAGGGCCAAACGGGTGGGAGAAAATCATGGTTCTAGAAACAGAAGGAGGAGTGCCTTGGAGACAGGTTCCTGGGGCTGGTGGAAGGCCAGGAGCCACGGTCTGAGGTGGACAGGCTGAGGGGGTGTGTTGAGGTCCTTGGAGGCAGAGGCTGGAGAGGGGCCACCTGTCCATGGCTGAGCCATTGTTCCAAAGTCCTGTCCTTCAAAGGTGTGGTCCACGGCTTGCAGTTTCAGAGACAGGGATGGGGAAGYTTAGGAAGGTATTCAACCCTCGCTTTGCCTTCTTAGTCACTGTTTTTTGAAAAATACTCCTCAGCTGGGAAGGCACAAGGAATCTTCCCCAAGTCACCATTGAAGCTGTGGGAACCTATAGGGGACCGGTAGACAGGGTCCTCCCCTTACTGCCGCTTCTTCCCCTGCGGCCCTCCTCCCGGAGCCCTGGGGCATGTTCATTAACTTTGCTGTGACAGCCATGAGCTGCTTGTCCCTTGGTGGCTGAGGTGCCACCGCTGCTGGGAAATCATTACCATGACCCTCCGGTGTCATGGATGCCTGCGAAGGCCATCACATAGTACCACGGACTTCCTATCCCTGAGGCCTGCAAAGAAGCAAAAATAAATTACAATTAGATCATGGAAATGGTGGAAATTCTTTTCCAAGAGGGCAGCTCTGACTTCAGTGTCCCATGTCGTGAAGGGCAGTCATTTCTGTCCACGCAGCTCTCGGCAGGAGGAATGGYGCAGGCCGGCCGCCCTCCCTGACAGGTGGAGTCCGCCCTCGGGGACAGGCTGCTTTCCCTGTCCTCCGCGGACCTGGCCTTCAGTGCTGCCGTAGCTCATGATGATGAGCAGAGTTTCTTTGAGCTGAGGCACACTAAGAACAGGCGTGGCGTGCACCAGTGTGGCATGAACGATGTCCTGCKCCTTTGTCCTTTTTCTTGGTGCCTGGGGCAGAGGCCGCATTTACCCAGGACAGAGCACACAGCCCTGTCCTTCTTCCTCCTTGGAACACACAGGTATAGGAACAATCACTCACCACCCAAGAGTCCAAAGGCGGTGTCTGAGGTCCCAGGTCCCTGACCTGCTGGCCCTGTGGCATTGCATGCCCCATTGTGAGGCCTGCAGAGAGCAGGCCCCGGGGGTCCTCGGGGTCCTTGGGGTCCTCCAGGTGCCCCAGGTCCTCCGGGCCYTCCAGGTCCTGCGGGTCCTGCGGGTCCTCCGCGCCCTCTGCAGGTGCTCTGAGCCTGCTCTACCTTGGCAGGAGGAGGACGACTATGAAAGCCCCAATGACGAGCCAGACGGGGAGGACGATGGGGACTACGAATCTCCCAATGAGGAGGAAGAAGATGCAGCAGTGGAGGACGATGCAGAGTACGAGCCACCGCCCTCCAACGACGAGGAAGCTCTGCAGAACTCCATCCTGCCTGCCAAGCCATTCCCCACCACTAACTCCATGTACATCGGTAAGCCCCCTGCAGCCCCCCGCCGGGCTCCCCACTGCTGCCTGGGCAGACAGCGCCCCAGTTTTCCATGTAGCAGAAACCCCTGGGTGGTGGTACCAGCTCAGCTTCTCAACAACTGTGTAACTTTGGGTGAGCGTCTCCACCTCTCTGGGCCTTGATTTCCTCATCTGTGAAGTAGGATAATAAGAGTATGGTCCACATTGGTTTGCCACGAGGATTGTTACCAGTGCAGGCAAATCATTGCCTACGCCGGCTGCCATCTGCATGAAYGGCCACATAAGGGCATTTGGCAGTCATAACTTATTCTGAGTGTTACTTGTGCTTCTGGGCTATTTTTCTGTTCCTGCCATCTTTGGACCAAATCATAGTCATGGGGCACTGCTCAGGGCAGACGGTCAGAATCAACAGGAAGATATTGAGCGGGGTTYGACGGCAACTTTAAGAACCCGTGGACAGTCTTTAAGAATTTGTGTTGCCTTCTTGCTCTGCCAGTCTCTTCTCCCTCATTCAGCAAAAGTGGTGGCTGTCCTACTGGGGGACAGAAGGTCCAGGTAGCATACAAGACTGTTCGATTTGGTGACAGGAGTTGGTGGCCAGCTCTGCCTTCTAAGGAACGAGATGAGCAAAAGGATGAGGCGGGAGAGATGGCTCAGAGCCTTTGTGAGGGAAAGGAAGGGGACAGAGCGCAGGGTCCTCATGAGCAGTTTTGACCAACTTAGCCCTGACACACAGCTGTGGTGTGTGAGTGTGCACACGAGGGTGAGCATGTATGTGCACATACATGTGCGTATGTATGTGCCTGCACACGCGTGCCTGTGTGTGCAGGCAGAAACTGTGTGTTGATTTTTTACATTTCTCCCTGAAAACACTCCTGCCCAACATGGGCTGAGCTCATTCCAGAGAGGCCTTTTGTGCTGGGAACTTCTCTGCTGTTCCTGAAAAGTGACACGAGGTGTTTCCTTGTATAGGTGTGAATCAGGCTAGGACAGGGCCAGCTGGGGTGGAGCATGGCCGCCTGTAGCAGCCAGGCCAGGTGTCCCTAGGGCTGGGGCTCTGGCTGGTGCAGGTGGCACTCTGAAGGTCAAGGAGTGGACACTCCCAAAGCCAGGGTCAGTGCCTTCCTGGAGAGCGGCCCTGAGGGTGGCTCACCTTGGCGGCATGCTCTCTCTCATGCGAATATTCTCCTGGTTCTACAGACCGGCCCCCCGCGGGGAAATCCCCTCAGCWGCCTCCTGTGCCCCCGCAGAGACCCATGGCTGCCCTTCCTCCTCTGCCAGCCACCAGCATGACCGGCCGGAACCACTCGGTAGGTCTCTCCCTTTCTTTTATGTCACTTTGTAGCTGCTCATTATTTCTTCTACCAGACAGAAAAAAAAAAATGAAACATCTTTATCTAATCCTAATTTTGCAAGAAGAGGTTCGTTTAGGCTGGGAAAAGGCTTACCCACATGCTCTGTGCTTCCTTGGGGAGTGTAATACTGGAGATTTTTATTGACACTGTCATGCTTATTGGCATTTTCTTTGTACCATAAACAGTATAAACTACTTATCTAATAAAAAGGCCCCCGTCCAATATGCACTGTGTTATTGTTTCCCACTATTTGAAATAGGTGGACCCTGTAAAGTGAACAGTAAGGGAACCCCATTAAGGCAAGGGCATTTACTGGGGTCCGTGGTCCCAGCTGGCCTTGCTGGCTCTTGCAAAAAGATGTGCGCCACCTGCTGGCCAGAGCCTGAAGTTCACAGGGCAGAAGCTTTCAAACCAGGAGATCTACAATACAATGAGCTGCGGGGGAAGCGGAGGGGGCACACTCCTCACTTGTCTTCAAGAGTGCACTCTAGCTCTCGGGATCTGGTAAACCCCAAAATGGCCCTGAGAAGCTCAGACCAAGGAGTTAGTGGCTAGGAATATGCTCTCCTCACAAGTGACCTGAGCACATGCCAAAGTGCTAGGGAGACCCCAGGTTTTTTTTTTACCAAGGCTCAAAATTCAGGCTGCACCACAGTGGGGACCTTCCATCTGAGAACAGATGCATCCTCCTGCCCATGGGGTTCCACTTCAAAGGAGGCTCGCGGGGCTGAATTGATTGACAAGTGCATTTTGCTTTTGAAATACGAAGCCCTGCAACTCTGCGGTGGGATGCAGAATTCCCTCAGTCAGTCAGACACAGGGGCCTGCAGTGTTCTGGGTGCTGGGAACAAAGTATGAACAAGACCAAGTCCTGGCTTTCACCAAGTTCTCATTTGGGTCAGGGAGACAGAGAATACACAGCTAAGCAGATGTAGCAATGATGGGAGTGGTCACGTGTGGCTAGGGAGACAGAGGGTGGTGGTAGAGAGATGACATCGAGCTGGGAAGAACGAGCCAGCTGTGGGAAGAGCTGGAAAAAGAACATTCTAGGCAGAGGAGACCCAAGCACAGAGCTGCCCAAGAGGGCACAAACTTGAGAGTTTCCAAGAGCTGCAAGAAGACTCTTAGGGTGGGGCCCTGCTGGAGAGAACCAAACTGGGCCAGGCAGATGGGCCAGCTCCAGCTCAGGCAGGGCCGGTGGGTCACGATGCAGAGGCTGTGGATCTGGGCAGGGGCATGCCAGGTCTGGCCCCTGCACGGGAAACGCTTCCTAACTTTTGTATCTTTTTTATGCAGCCACTTCCCCCACCCCAGCCCAACCAGGAAGAGCCAAGCAGAAGCCGAAACCACAAAACTGCAAAGCGTGAGCACCCCAGCTGCCCTCTCCTGCCCACCGGCYCGCCCACCCCGGCCAGCGCCTCCTTTTCTCCCTGACCTCACCTTTCTCCTTCCAGTGCCCCCTCCTTCCATCGACAGAAGCACCAAACCACCCCTGGATCGCTCACTAGCTCCCTTTGACAGAGAGCCCATCATACCAGGTTGGTATGATGCATCTGATGCACCAGAACAGCAGTCCACATTTATAGAGTACTTGCTGTGTGCCTTTCATGTGTACCATCTCATTTAACCATGAGGAGGAGGCTGGGAAATCATCCTCATTTTTCAAAGGAGGAAACTGTGGTATAAAGATTGCTCAGCTGCCAGGGGATGGGGTAGAACCAGGTGCCAGGTCAGCCCGACTGGGGAGCTCCCGCTCTCAGCGTCCACTGTGCCTGCTTCTCCGTGGGTGTGCACTGTGGCACACCTCTTGCTGTCCTCAGCCGAGATGCAGCAGGAGGCCCTGTAGGGCAGCACGGGAGATAGGCTAAGAGACAGGAGGTCTGGAAGGGCTGTGGTCTCCCAACAGCTTGCTGGCCGGCAGGGTGTTACTTTCTCAGGGCACAGATCCTTATTTGTTTGGTGAGTGTTCTGTAAAGAGGAAGTACTCATAAAACTCCAGGATGCCTGGATGTGTGCAACTCACACTGGCCCACTACTGTCTATTCCCCCAAAGATTTACACACAATATTCCAAGATCCCAGCTACCTCCATACGCAGCTATCCACAGCTCAATTCTAAAATTTAGCCACCATTTATCCACTACCTACTATGGGACAAGTGCCTTACCTACTCTAAATAATTATCCTACACCTTTTCTAATCCTATGCCCACCCAACAAAGCAGGTGCATTATTATTTCCACTTCTCAGATGATGAAACTGATGGTCAGAGAGGTTGAGTGATGGCCTCAGATTGCATAAGGAGGTAGGAGATTTGCACCTTGTCCTTCTGACTTCAAAGTGGGGATCTTTCCCACCACATCCTACTGCAGTTGAGGACCTAGGGTCTTAACTTGCTGTAAATGAGTGGATCTGGGGAAGGAATCCTGAAACAGGACAGATAAGAACTCCAGAATCCCTGCCCCTCCAGCTCCTCCTTGGTGATGCTCTGAACAGGGCCTGCAGCCGTCACAGTCTCAGTCTCCTCCTCTGTTGGGCAAAAGGACTTTCTGTTCCTGGGTTTGAAGCTGCTGCTTCCCTGAATTGCATCTCAGCTGTGCTGAGGCCCTCAAGGCTGTGATGTCTATTGGGGTTTAGAGTTGACTGCTGGGCAGAGCTGCACAGATAACAAAATAGAAGACAGACTTGACTTTGAGTCCAACCCTGCTCGTTTCCTTGAGCAGGGCATCAGAAGGGTGGGATTCTGACATCAGACCTTCACAACCACCTCCCCACACCCTGACCCTTGTAAAGGATTCTTTTTTTTTTTTTTTAACGGTTTGACCCTGGAGTTACTCCATTGTCTGTGATGTTTTAGAAGAACAAACCTTTTAAACTTCCAACACGACAGTCCCAACATGCCCAGAGAATATGCATAAATCTGAAGTTTTTTTTTCAGGGAGGGGTATTGGGGATTGAATTCAGGGGCACTCAACCACTGAGCAACATCCCCAGCCCTATTTTGTGTTTTATTTAGAGACAGGGTCTCACTGAGTTGCTTAGCGCCTCCCTGTTGCTGAGGCTGGCTTTGAACTTGAGATCCTCCTGCCTCAGCCTCCCAAGGCACTGGGATTATAGTCATGCACCACCGTGCCTGGCAAATCTGAAGATTTTTGACAAAGATAAATCAATTCAGGCTGAAGGATATAAATTCATTTCCTGGGAATTGCTTTATACTAGGAGTTCTACCCCAAATTAAGTATGGTAAATAATAAACATCTTTTATACCATGAAAACTCTCTTGCATTAGCCAGGGAGCTGTCCATCGTGAGATAGCAGACTTGGCACCCATCATGGGTCTGGCCTATCCTCAGTGCTTACAGAATGAATCATGTTATGGAGCTACGATCCCAGGAGATGGGGCCACCGGTCACCCTGGGTGCTGTGTCTGGTAGGGAAGGGAGGGAAAGAAAGCAGTCAGCTAGAATTTATCAGCAGCTACCCATCGTGTCCCTGATCTTACATATAGGTTGTCATATGACACAGCAAACCTGAGCAGACTTTGCCCGTCATCCCTGTTTTACAGCTAGAGACATAGAGGCTCAACATGTTCAGTTAAACTTGTGCATTATTCAAGGTCCGTAGGATCGGTGCCAGACCTAGTGGACATTAATGAGTAATACTTGTATCACATTGACAACAAAGGGCCTGCCTCCTCTAGGGGACTCCAGATGGAATAAAACTTAAATTGCTTTGAGTGGCTTGGCAAGGCAGAACTCGCGGGTATACCTAACAAACCTTCAGGAATGTAATTTCTTCTCAGAGAAAAGTAAAAAAGCAAACAAACAAAATAACAACAGCTCCCCAAGAGAACCTCCCGAAAACCTCTCTTCCAAGTGAAAAAACTAAGTGGTCACTTTATGCGATGTCAAGGGTACCCCAGGGCTGGAGGAGCATTAGCCCCTCCGTGGCCTGGGTTTATTTCAGATACGGGAATGAAACACTGTGCGAAGAACATTTCTACCCATGATAGAGGCACAAAACCCCCTTTTGGTCATGGGTTATGTTGAGTAAAGCGTTGAAAAGAGGCACAGACCCACAGTCCCTATGTACACAGAGCTCTGTGTCCCTGGCAAGAGCCACTTACTCTCTCTRAGCCTATAAGGTTAGGGGCTCTGCAAGGGACCCGTCCAAATCCAGAGTCTGGGCTTCTTCAATGCTTAACCCAGCCTGCCCGAGGGACTGGCATTCAACCAACCCCGCGTGTCATGCCCTCGTCCTGAACCCTGCTTCTCTGTCCACAGGGAAGAAGCCTGCGTTTTCTGACAAGGTAAGCTGCCTTTCTGGTTTGATGGTTTCACTTTGGCTTTGTCCTTATTTGAGAAGTGCCTGGCACTCACCCATCTCCCTCCTGTCTTGCAGCCCTCGGCCCCGGCGGGAAGGTGAGAACTGTTGACATCGAGGCAGGAGGTCGCGGGACTGGCTGCAGGGCCCTGCCCAGCCGTGACCTGCGTCTCACGTGCCTTTCTCTGAACTCGCCAGGACTCTCGGGGACCATTTACCCAAGATCCCAAAGCCTCCTTTACCACCAGCCACAGAGAGACATGAAAGAAGCGGTCCCTTGCCTGGGAAGAAGCCACCTGTGCCAAAGTAAGCGTCCCTTGTTGCCTGAGCTCGCCCTGCAGAGTGGACGGCACGGGCAGCCTACCGTGGCCATCTCCCCGGGGCATGGAGCATCTTGGGCATTCCCGGGTGGGAGTGGGCACCTTGGGCTGTGGGGAATCTAGCTCAGGAACGAGTGGAGGGATGCTTGCTCGGAGGCACGGGGAAACTGTGTTGGGGGAACTTGGGTGAGCAGAGCTGCCCTGCCTGTTTTGTTTCTCAGTGCAGGTAGTGAAAAGAGCAGAGGGAGGTCTGCAGGTCAACATAAATGTCACGCTTATTGTCCATCCACTTCTTACCAGTCCGCTCTAGTATTTCTAACTGTGCTGTGGAGTCATTTTTAACAAATGGCACAAATGTACCTGGGGTCCAGGCCAGCCCTGCTGCTTAGGAAAGACCCAGCTGCTGAGGCTTCTATTTAGCTCATCTGTGCAGTTGGGATTCAAAACAATTGCCCTCGCTTGGCTGCTGTGAGGATTCAGAAGGACCAGGGCTGGGATGTACCCAAAAGAAAAAAAAAAAAAAAAACAGGGCTGGGAGTGTGGCTCAGTGGTAGAGTGCTTGCCTAGCATGTGTGAGGCACTGGGTTCGATTCTCAGCACCGCATAAAAATAAATAAAATAAAGGAAAGTAGACAAACCAAAAAACAGAAACACACACACACACACACACACACACACACACACACATACACCCATGCATGCACACACAAAAAAACCAACCCTGAATTTAACAACATTGCAATGCATTATTGTTAAAAATAAAAATTGATGCAAAAAAATCATAATGACTGAAATATCAAAATGATCACTAAACACAGAATGAGCTCCCATGAGCTCAGCACACATGATACCCCAGACCCAGGAGGTATTTGGCAAAGTGTCCTCCTCCACCCTCCCTCTCTAAGAGCAGGGGCGCCCAGGCACATAGTCACCACGTGTGTGTGACTGGCTTGCTCATCCTGGCCCCATTTGGAAAAGTCCCCAAATGGCCACATTTTCCAACTGTCTTCCCATTACTTGAAGGGTGGCTGGCTTAAAACATCAGCAAAGAAGAATATAACCTAAAATGTTTCCATTTGCTTGGAGAAACATCTACTCAGTGAAATTTAGTAGCTACCAAAGAGTAGGCTGCTGACTAAACCTTTATATACATATACATAATTATTTGCTGCAGTAACTGCACAGAACAAGGCTTTGCCTGGCTTGCAAAGACAGCAGAGCATGAGGAGACCACCCTCTCCCCTCTCCTCCCCGCCTCTCTGATGAGATTTGCAGCTGCCCGTTCCACCACGGCTCAGTGGGTTTGATGTCTCCTCCTGCGATTTAGGAAATTGCATTCTGAAGTAGACCCTTGGAAAGTCTGGCCACTCACTTCTTTTCTTTACCCTCGTTCATTTCAGGCATGGATGGGGACCAGACAGAAGAGAGAATGTGAGTACAAATGTCATTTTGTAAGTGCTTGGCACAGGGACAAGCAATGCAGGCTCTGTGGAGCTCGGGGCTTTATCCACCCTTGGTCTTCCCTGAACTAGAGCAAGATCTGAGCATAACAGGCCTCTGTTTTGGGGGGCTGGGGCTTTTCTGCAGCCCATCCGTCTGCGATGCCCAGCTCCCATCCTCTGAACCCCACTCTCCCCCACCCCAGCTGGGCTCCTCACAGACCTGTAGCCAGTGGGTGATTAGTGGGATAAAGTGTGGGCAGGGATTGAGGGATGCCCAAGAGTCTGAGCATCACACAAAAATTCCCAATGCCTCTACTTTCCCTTAACCACCTCCATGACCTGGGGAACAGGGGAAGCAGTGTTACTGAATGCTCCAGGGTGACCAGCTGTTTGCTGGGACTTTCCCAGAATTAGAACTGAAAGTCCCATGTCCCAGAAACTTCCTCAGTCCCAGGAAAACCAGGATGATCAATAATTACCAGCTATGTTTAGGCTTTATATTTAATGATTCCATGAGGAATTATCCTTTCTCTTTGCATGAGAAGAATTTCAGGCTTAGAAAGAGTAATACACTGGTTTCAAGGTGCACAGCTAGTAAATAGTCAGGTTCTGAATCCAGGCCTGTCTGAGCCCTCTGAGGGCCGTCAGATGCTTGCCCCTGATCCAATGCTCGGCAATGAGTCTACTGTTCCCATGGCTCTCTGCTCCATGCTTTGTTTGGTCAAATGAAGTGCAGAGGTGTTATGGCGACAGGCACCTCATGGCACATGTGCTAGGGAGCATGCCTCCGTGGAGTGACCTGTAGAGGGACGAGAGGTCTATGGGGGTCAAGGAGCCAATGTGGACTTCTTAAGGGAGGAGAGATTTGTGGCAGTYATTGGGTAAAAGGGAAAACACAGGTCAAGGAGCCAGAGGGGACGCGGTAGCCACACTGTTGAAGAGCAACTGTGTCCTGGGGTGTGTGGAGCCTGTGTATGTTTATTTGTGCAGCCCTTTGCCAGGACTCTGGGTGGCCCACTGGGACAAGCAATTCTAAATGTRGTCCTTGCCACATCTCAGCGTGTCGCAGACCAGTGATGGCAAACCCACTAAAGGGCATAGAGCCCAGAGCAGGGGATTGAATCCTCAGGACACTCCCAGGAAGGCGTCATGGCAAAGTCACTTTGTCTCTTGGAACCTCATTTGTTATCCGAAGGAAAAAGAAAATAGCTCTTCTCTTGTCCAGTTCACAAGGTGACCTTGAAGATAAAGATAACCAGGGCTGTAGATGCCACTCATAAGCCACACTRGGAAAAAGAAACGTCTTACTGCTTTTAAAAAGAGTGGGCATCATAAAGCAGAGATAAAAAGAAGGCTGAGCCGGGCATGGTGGCTCAAGCCTATAATCCCAGCTATTAGGGAGGCTGAGGCAGGAGGATTGCAAGTTTGAGGCCAGCCTCAGTAATTTAGTGAGACCTGTATCAGATAGATTTGGAATTGGATCTATTTCTGCAATCCATGGTAGATGAGGAATTCTTCTAAGCATCATGTTCCCATTTGTAAAATGAGGATGTTAAGTTCTCAGTAGGTCACCGGGRAATTGAATGAAATACTGTATATGCATCACAGATATTATAAACATTATTATATCTTTGAGCCCTATTAGGAACCTCAGAGCTAATTCAAGCACAGTATATGAGGAAATTTCAAATTGGAGTGTCCTCAGGTGATTGTTTTTATTAGAAAATCGTAAACCACTTATCAAATTCTACTATTATCCACAATATATTTATTATGGGAAGCTATAACTAAGGAAAGAACCAGACACATTCATAGGATTGAGAAATATAGTTATCATTTTAGGAATTGTGTTCTGATAAGTTAATATCTTTAATTTTTTTTTCTTTCCCTTTGCCAGGATGAAGATGATGGTAGGTTCAGAAAAGATTTCTTACCACTTCTATCTCATTCTCTCATTTTTCTGCTGAGGTATTCCAATGGGATCACGTAGTCTGGGAGCCCCACAAAACCAATTATAACTGTTAAATTAATATGAAGTAGACATGTGTCAACTGGTATGCTACATAGCTATAGTAAAAGGAATTACTTGGTTGAGTTCCCAAGGAGACTTAAGCTCATGTGTAACAGTGCAGATTAACTAATTGTATAGTAAAATTAAAATTACATGTGTAGTTTTATAGAAAAATTTGTAATATTTACGTCCTCTAACACAGATGGGTAAAGGATCATAACTTGCAGGTGAATTGCATGCAATTTTGGCTTTTGCAAAGCAAAACAAAACTCGTGAATCAATTCTGAAACTTATAAGGTTTCTAATTGACCATTTTTCGCCAAGTTAGCACTTTTAAAATGTGTGGGGGGAGAGAATTGTATAAAACAGCAGTACTTTCACAATTCATTCTTGGGTGGTAAATCATCTAGAAAAGATTTGAAGCCAGGGGTTCCCTCTTACCACTTTCCAACACATCTGAGCATTGGGATTTTATATCAGCTGTTTTCAACTAGGGAGCATCTCTAGAATGTTCCAAGAAACTGGAGATTAATTTCCTCCTCCTCCCACAGTGCATCAGAGACCCTTGCCCCAGCCTGCACTGCTCTCTATGAGCTCCAATACCTTCCCCTCAAGATCCACCAAGCCAGCCCTCAAGCACCCGCTCCTGTCCTCTCACGGGCCTGGGACATTCTCAGAAAGGTTTGTGGCTGTGGTCATCAAATTCTCACTTAATGTCGGGTCTAGGGCCACCTGATGCTGAGGTAATGCAGGTGGCTGGAGGGGGAAAAAGCCGGGGGTGTCGGCATCTGAGCAACCCCTGGGTCTAAGGAAACAAAGCCCAGCTGAGCTTCTAGGACAAGAGGCTAATCCTGCCCCTGAGAGTTCTGTACTTGCGGGGGAGGAGCGCAGCACTGACTTCTCCCGGATTGTTCCAGATGGAACAAACTTTTTGGCAGAAAACGGGGAATGTTTTGACTTTATAAGTTAAAAAAATATATATACAAACAAGCAGACTTCAGAAACCCATTTAACTGCAGTCCTGGAGCTCCTCCTGCATCTTGGAGGAGACTGACGAGACGTGCCTTGCTCCTGGCACAGCCTCCCCCCACAGGCCTGTGTCCAGCCAGGCATGTCCAGTCCTGCCCAAGATCTGGCAAGATGCTCGACATCTTTAGCTTTCCCTGGGAGCCTCTCATCCTCCTTTCCTGTGGTTTCCTCTCGTCTTCTGGCTGGTTTTCTCTCGCTGCCACGTCCGCCATTTTCTCCTGCTGCTCACCACCCAGGGCCCCAACCCCGACCTTCACTCCTGAGGAATGCCCCCCAGGAGAGGCGGTGGGCAGCAGACTTCTGAGGACTTGGCACGGAGGAGCAGACCCTCCCTCCTCCCTCCAGTCCTGGAAAACACTGTCACTCTCTGATGTGGCCCTACCTGGTGCTCACATGGGCACAGACCTGTCCTTTCCCTGCAGACCCCGCAGGCCCTGGGACTCACAGAGGTCCCTCCGAGGTCCACCTTGGGACATACCAAACTGTGTCAGCTACGTTCCTTTCCTGTACTCAGATCCCATGATTTCAAGGAGGAGAGGTGACAAGTCATAAGACAGCAGGACTYGAGGACAGCCTGGTTTCCTTCTCCCAGTTCTCAGTCTGGCCCCGTCCCAACTCACTTAAAATCCTTTCTTTTTCTGTCTCCACAGTAACAGCAGTTTCCCACAGAGTGCCTCTCTGCCGCTGAACTTCTCTCAAGGTTGGTACCCGAGCCTTCTAGACCCCCGCCAGCCACCACGTCTGTGGGACTAGATCCCCGTCTGGCTCACAGGCCTTCGGCAAAGGTTTTGTGGTTTCCCCAAAGCACCTGAGGTCCTCATCCAGGGTTTAGTTAGTRTCTGCGGGGCATCGAGGAACTGCTGGAGTGACAGGAGACTACACAGCCTACCACACACACGCACCTACACACCACGCACACACACACACACMCCMCAMMACACACACAACAACACACACCACACAAACCACACACACACGCACACCACACACCACATACACACACACCACAACACAYACACACATACACACACACACTCTTCACCAGGAAATCGGCCCCATTCCCTGATGTTCCCACAAAGATGCCCCTTTCCTTCCTGCTGTTTCCATACAGAGCTCAGAAGAGTTGCTGGCTTTCTCTGCAGTGTTAGGTTCCCATGGTGAATCTGCCCTTGGGGTGTGAGTTTCAGAGTCTGCGGGAGGCCCAGGGATAGATATTTCAAATGATACTGCTTCTAGTGTGTGTTCATAGTGTTCTTGAACTTTAATGTGCATACAAATCACCTGGGAGCAACTCAGGGACTCCCGTCCGGGGTCCTRCTCTCAGCAAATGCAAAATGGCCTCCTGCTCCCAAGGATCATGTACCCAGTGCTGAGTGGGAGGAGAGACCACAGGGTGCCAGCCAGGGCCTCTATGTAATCAAGTGATGTGATTCTCCTCCTGTCCTCCAGTCACCCAGGTCCCTTCCTTGCCCGGCCATGCCTGGAGAGCACCAACCCAACCTTCTTCAGCTTTTAACTTTTTATTATCGTCTTTGTATCATATTCTGATATGGTCGCAGAGCAATATTTCCAGTCAACAAATATCCTAACCTTTTTTCATTTATATGCAAAAGAAATAGTTTTAAGTAACTGTACCCCTGTGTCATCTTGCTATTACTTTGTATGTTGTACTTTCTTTTTTCTTCTTTTATTTTTAAATATTTTTTTTTAGTTGTAGACGGACTCAATATCTTTATTTAATTAATTTATTTTTATGTGGTGCTGAGGATCAAACCCAGGGCTCCACACATGTGAGGCCAGCGCTCTACCACTGAGCCACGACCCCGATGTGCKCCCTGCTCAGCCTCTAGTGGCCTACTCCAGCCTCGCTGACATCTGCTTAGAAGACCAATTCTAGAACTTTCTGGGTTTTTTTTTTTTTAAAGAGAGAGAGAGAGAGAGAGAATTTTTTTTTTAATATTTATTTTTTAGGTCTCGGTGGACACAACATCCTTGTTTGTATGTGGTGCTGAGGATCGAACCCAGGCCGCACGCATGCCAGGCGAGCGTGCTACCGCTTGAGCCACATCCCCAGCCCCACTTTCTGGGGTTTTAATCCTTCAAATTTTGGACTAAAGTTGTATGTTCCTGCCTGCTGTGATGCTGGATCCCCAGGCAGTGGGAATGTCTAGGTCTTGACCGCCCTCGAGTCCCCAGATCCATAGCAGAGTGGGACAAGATTGTAAATATTTATAAGTTTTCATATCTTGGGAGACACAGAGGTGGTGCTTTGCGGTTCTTCATGGTGTCGTGTATGTTTTGATAACAGTGATTACAGGCTCAGTATTTTATCTGGAGCTCAGAGGCCAGGAGCACATTAAAACAGTTTTATAACACCCTGGCCTCCCTGTAGACCACTTCTTTCCTCTTACACTATAGAAGGCAGCTGGCCAGTCTAGGCTGGATGTGAATAAATTCCTTCTGTGCCCTGAAAAATCAAAAATCACCTGGGAATTCAGTAGGATTGGGTTAAGACCTGAGATGCTGTGTTTCTAACAAGTTCCCACGCAATTCGGATATTACTGGTCCACTCTGAAGTAGCAGCAAAAGCCAAAGTAGGACTAAATTGCATTTATTTTTATCCCTAAACAAGTGACTAGCACAAGGAACTCTTAAAATGCTTATTGAACRATGGAATCTTCAAAGACCACAAAGTTACAACTCTACCAAGTGGACTTCACCATATGCCAGGAAGCTGACTTAGTGTTAGTGAATTCCCTAATTTATTTTTAAAAGAAAATACGGCCTTTAATGTGAAAGTGCCCAATTTTTAAAAGTTGACTTATATTTAAAAAAAAAAAAAACATTGTGAAGTACAAACAGAAGACTTTTCTTCTTTTTTCTTGTTTTCCTTTTTTGGTGGTCATGGTCCATGTGCAGCAACACCAGTGTGGATTTTAAATAGGAGATTCCATTAGTAAGTTTGAATTGTAGCTCCACAGCAAACGTTCTTCTGGAGCACATCAACTGTATGCAGTTGTACACATCATTCCACATGTCAGATACCACTGCTGATGCCAGCAGCCCCTACTAACTTTTCCACGTTTTCTAAGCATTTGAGATTAGTGTCCTTATTCTATATGGCTTCCCATTCCCTGCCCTGTCTTAACTTTTCACAATCCCTCAAACTCACTGTTTTCAAACCTACATCTGTGTTATCTACCATCCCCTATAAGCATCTGGATTATAGACACTTCACTGATAGCAATAATACTAAGTACGTACTTAAGTGCATGCCACAGATTTCTTGTTTTGTGAGTTGGTGGCATGGGGATTATTAATGCAAACAGTTAATTGGGTCAGATATTACCTAAATCAAAATTGATCCCTTTTCTCCCAAGACTGCCAGGATACCTGTTCCTCCGCCTGTGGCTACTGCAACCCCAGGAAGGGAGATCATGCATTGTCAAAAGCCAGTTGCAATTCCCTTGAGAAGCCAGATATTAAGGGTGACGAGTGACTAATAAAGAGCATATGTGCTCGTGTGCTGTGAATTATGGCTTTCTGGTGCTGGCCAGTGGGTGCAGAAGCAGAGAGTAATTCCTCAACACTGAAAYAGCCATGCGGAATACACTTTGGTTCTATTTTTCTCCTATACTGTTCGATCTCATCCACTCAGCAAGCATTATAAAAATATATAAGTGCTGGACCCAAAATGTGGGCCTGTTTAGGTGTTGGGATCCTGGAGAAGGAAGGCACTGGCAGCTCAGGGTCAGTCTTGTAATCATTTAGAAACAGGGAAGGGCACTTTAAATAATCCTGGTGACATAGCTCAGGACCCCTCAGCCCCTTCCCAGGTGACTCCCTTCCTCCTGGGTAGCAGAGCAGACACTGATTCCTGTGATTCAAAGGCCACTGGGGATTCTCACTGGTGCACAGTGACATTTGAGAACCACAGGTTGAAGTCTTGGCCCTGACACTGTCACATGATTTGCTTCAACTCTTTGAGCTCATTTCCTCCTGTGCAAAATGAGCATAATACCCACCTTTACTGYTGCTGGGTGGATTAAGAGTGCTCACTCAAAGTCTGGACAGAGGAGAGCTGGAAAGCATGGGTTGAATGAGCAAATGAGTGATGGGTGAATAGTTAAGACAACACTCAGTTGTCTAATTCTTCTGTTTTTCATAGTTGTTCTGACACAGAGAGAACAGCCTTGCAACTCTAGTCCACACACAATCAAACCTTTCCTGAGATGAGGAGACACATACTCAGAAACTTTCAGGGAATCCTAAGCTAGGAAAAATGTCTTAGAGGAAGTGAGACACATGCACTGGGTACCTTGTAGGTTCCAGTGACGACTTTCAGATCAACCAGGTGATCCTTCAGCCAAATCAGCACTGAGCATATGTTGGTTCTGAGAGCTGAGAAATAATACTCTCAAGGTGATTTCACCACATCTTGGGTAACAGATTTCTCTTTGTGAAGACAAGGAAAACATAATCACCATGCATTGGTGGATGAGAATCCATTGCATGTACTGATATCACCAGGGTCTCTGAAAGGTCTGTCTCTCGAATGTTCTTTTTTTTTTTTTTTTAATTTGTTCTAATCAGTTAAACATACAGCTTGAATGTTCTTACTGATGTTCACATTAAAACAATGGTGACATTTTTATAAATGAATCTAGGCTCTCTATATGATACACCAAGAACATTGAGGAAATCTCTAAATTTTGAGGTTCTGCTCTAAAGTCTCACAGATATGGTTACAGAATAACGTGGCCYTTGTGTTTTTGAGCAGGTAGGAATTATTTTTAAAGCTTCATTTTCTTGAGATGCCAATTATCAGAACAGCGACAGGGYATTTGGTTAAGTGTTAGGAGAAGTAAACAGTAGCTCACGCTACATTTTTAATTGTCAAAATGTTGTACTTCCTTTAAGGCCCCAGCAACCGCCCACCTCTCAGAGCTGAAGGCAGAACCTTGCCCTTGCCAGTGCCGAGCAGACCTCAGCCCCCGTCCGCTGGGGCGGAAGAGGTAATAAAGCAAATGTTTTGATCATTTTCTTTCCCTAGCAAATGGACCATAAGAAACCCTGTTGAATACTCTTCCAGGCCTCTGACTTCTATTTTTGTTTTTAATTAAAGGGGAGGGCGCTGGGAACGTAGCTCAGTAGTAGTTGAGCGCCTGCCCATTATGCCTGACTTCCTGGGTTCCATTAAAGGGGAGGATCCACATGAAAAATAACATGTGCCTTTTCCTTGGTTCTTTCAGACCCTTGCAGTGGCAAATGTATGTTTTGCTTTAAACAATAAGAAAAATAATCCCATTTTCTGTTTCTCAGCTTATGAACTTGAAAAAGTTGCACCACTGCTCCATGAACACAGTTTTTTTTTTTCATTAAGCATGTTACCCCTGCCAAATTTATTCCATTTTTWAAAAAATTTTACATTTGCAGAATTCACTGGATGAAGAGTGGTACATTTCTTACATTACCCGGCCAGAGGCAGAAGCTGCCCTTAGAAAGATAAACCAGGTATGGTGCTACAGTTATTGGAAAGTAGTTATAAATATTAATGGAAGGAGAAGAAGGGAACTGACCTGGACTGAGTCCCAATTATTTGCTGGGAGATCTGTGAGGTGCTGTTCCGAGGACACCCATTGGTCCAGCTTCTGTCAGGGTCCACAGCAGTGACTTCTGGCACCAGAATTCATTTGGCTGACTGAAACGTCTAAACCAAGGCAATCATCTGATTGTCAGGATCTTAGGAGATTTTTATTAAYGAGAGTCTGTCTTGTCATGTAGCATCAAAAGGAGATGCTCCCAAGTTTCCCACATCTTGCCAGTTCCATCTGCCTCTGAATGCAGTCTCCCTTCATATCTAGGCAGTAAACCTCTCTGTGCAGAGAGGCAGCAGCCATTTTTTGTCCTTCCTCCTGAAATTTTTAGCTACTTCTTTGATATTGTCAAGTCCTAAGCAGATGCCCTGTGGCCCAGTGCTGACCTTTAACCTTAAATCCCTTTATCAGAGGTGGGAAAGAAAAGATTCTTCACCGTTCACATCTAAAGTCCACAGYAGTAGCTCCCAACCTTGGCTGAACATCCTGACTCCTGGGTCTCACCTGAAGAGATTTTGTTTTAATTAGACCAAGTACTTTGTGGGATGAGGGAGTCTTTGAAGCTCCCTGAAGATTCTGATTCCAAGCCAAGGCTGTGAATCAGAATCCAGAGGTGTGTTTGTCTGACAGGGATGTTCTGACTGACTCARTTAACTTGGGATAAAAAGAACAAAGGAAGACTCTTATTGTAGATTGATGATTATTTAAAAGCCATCCTGATTTAGTACGTGGAGGAGGAAGTGGTTTAAATGAGTCTTCCTAAGGAGCTCAATTAATATTAGTTCTTTATTATGATGTTGTGGTGATTTATTGAGTGAAAGTTTAAAGGAAAGCATGAATCACAACAAATATATATTTTTTTAAAGTTCAGCAACTATTTTAAAAAGGTAGGAAGAATACACGTGGTCCACATTCAATTTCGTTCAGGTGTTTGATGGAAGAAACGCTGAATCTAGAGATCAAGAGGTTTAGAAAGGGGTGAGTGTCATTGGCTTATGGAGGTTTTCTGACTGTGGATCTGGAAAGGAAAGTGTAGGGAATTAATTCGCAGGAATAGAAAGCTGTATCTTGAGCTGGCCATTAAAGTCCTCTTTTTGGCCCTTTATCCTCTCAACCACCTATTATGTGTTTTATTACTGAAAAAAGATTCCTTTTCTAGGAAGAGGCTTTAGAGAGGTTGGCTTGGAAACGTCTCTGATGACATTTCTGCAGCCTCTCTTGATAACCAAGAAACACAGGGCAGACGGATCTGTGGCTGCTAGGGTTGCCGCTGAAGGCCAGTGGTCTCCACCGACAGAAGTTTCTGGTCCTGGGAGAGGGTCAGCTGCTCTCAGAGCCAATAGAGTCCTGACTTTTACTGTTCCCTACTAACAAGAATTTCCCCTTGTAGGATGGCACTTTTCTGGTTAGAGACAGCTCTAAAAAAACAATAAGCAACCCATATGTCCTCATGGTATTGTACAAAGATAAAGTCTACAACATCCAGATCCGTTATCAGGAGGAGAGCCAGGTCTACATGCTGGGAACTGGACTCCGGGGGAAGGAGGTAAGGACTTGGAGCTTCAGAATTTCCCCCCATGCTCTTTCTACGCCTGCCTGCCTCCCCACGGGGAGATTCTCTTAATATTCTCTGGGAGCCCATGCTGGGYAGCAACTTAGAGCTAATTCCCATTAGCAAAGCCCTTCATTATTTGGAGGGGAATAGAGCAAAACATTAACAGTAACTGATTCAGCCGTAGGAGTCCTTCTTGTATCTTTTACTCTAAATAATCCAACCTCACATTATAACTTTCAAAATTAAAAAAAAAATAGGTTAGCATTTTTAAAAAATCTGTTAGATGGAATCAAAGTCCAGTCTCTTCTGTTATTGACCTCTGCCATATAATTGTTAATGTAAGATTACAGTGTACCTAGAAGGCTGTATTTTAAATTAATAACCTCTGGGAAAGGGGAAGAACCAGAACACTTGCTGTGGTGGTTATTTGGACACTAGGGTCATTTCTTACTGGGCAAGAGGTACAGTTCTGTGACAATGGCCAGATCACTAAATTGTTGGGCTAAGGCTTAGATTCTCGTGCCAGACATTTTTTTGGGTGGTTGTCAGAATTGATATGAAAGAGGTCCTCTGGGCTGCCTTGTGTAAAGACAGCTGTCAACTAAATGCACCATCCCAAATCGTGCTTTTCTTCGAGTTCAAAGTTGCAGGAGGAAGACCAGTGGAAGTGAACATCTCCAGAATGAGAAAAAACTCATCCATAACGTACACTTTTAAGCGATGACAATGTGGAGAGTAGGACAAAACACGTGCTTTTGTTTAAATGTTGGAACCACTGGAGGCTCTGCCCTCCCAGATTTCCTTGGCCTAGGATGGAAACACACAGGCACAGACTGCTGACTGCGGCTGCCCCAGAGGGAGGCACCCAGGCCTGAGTCCTGGAGGAGTACACATTCCTCTGTGGAGCACCATGTGACTTCTGACCATATACATAAGGATGAATGGGGCCTTTCTTGGCCATCAGGGAGAGTATAGTACAGGCTATGGGTGAGAACAGTTGGCTGCCGAGTTTCTGTGATTGAAGGGGTGGCAATGGGCACGCAGCAGGGGCTGTGAAGGAACTTCTATGCCATGCTGTAGCTGTCACCTCCAGACACTGTGAATGGTGTCTGACCTCCTGATTCCCCTTTCCTCCTAACCCCGTTAATTACTGGGGTGAATAGGAGGTACAGAAACCAAGACCCAAAACAGAAACCCAAGGAGCAACCAATATTTAGGATTATGACTCCTTATATAAAATTTTAAGAACTTGTTTTTCATTCATTATTTGTTGGGTGTTGATGAGGAATGTTTTCAGATTTCTATAGCAGAAATTACTAAAACATCTCCACAATTTATGTGCCCCCCATTCTAGTTACTTACAGGGGCTACATTATGCAGATTAAAAAAAAAAACAGTGAAATTCACACTATCCACATAATGATGACTTATCTTCCTCTTTTAACTTTCCAGGATTTTTTGTCGGTGTCAGATATTATTGACTACTTCAGAAAAATGCCACTTCTGCTCATTGATGGGAAAAATCGAGGCTCTAGATACCAATGCACATTAACGCACGCTGCAGGGTGTCTGTAGCAAGTGAGTAAGGAGACGGACTTTCCTTTTGCCTCTGTTGTGGACCTGAGAAGATCAACCGACCTTGGTGAATGGACAACGGTACTGAAACCAACCCCTCGACATGGACACGAGAGTTTTGTACTTCCCTTTAAAAACAGTGTTTGAAATGAAGACTGTCAAATATACCATAATTTATTTATTCCTCTTTAATGTTTATAAAGTGAAAGAGTAATATTGTTCACACTTGAAGTCTAGTAGTGTACTATGTACTTCATTTGAAAAAAAAAAAAAGATGTGTATTTTTGTTTGCCCATTTTGAAGTGAAGTTGTTTACATAGCCACAGCAAATTTGGGGCAAGTTTATAAACACTGAAACAGTAGTAGTTTTTGATATCACATGGAACATAGCCAAGCCTTTGTCAGTCAGAGGTAATCATCAGTTTTTTTTATATAACTTAAAAGTTACTAAAATTCTTTTTTTCAGCAGCAATAATTTGAGGCTTCAAAAATATAATGCCACTGGTTCTTATTTGGTGTTTTCTGCTGGGGGGATTTTGTGTACTTTTTAATGACAAGATAAATGCATGTTGGGATAACTTCCTGGGATTAAAATAGTCTTTTGCCTTTCTTTTGGCTTCCTATAACGACTTTACTGACTTTTTTGTTTAGTCCGTACTATTGTTTGTTTTAAAGCAAATTTAATCTACAGATATCAAAAGGAAACATTTTAAATTTAGAGATGAGACTTTGGTATCAAATAGGTTGACATTTCATCCCTTCCCTGTACCCAGCACCCCCATCACACCCTCTATCACCCAACCCAAAAGCAATGCTCAGTGATATAGGCTTCACTGAGTTTCCTGGGGAGATGAAGGAGCAGTGCTTAGACGGTGATGCAATTTCATCAAACTTTGTTATTAGACACTGTTTGTGTTAGGTAGTTTTCTGTTACTATGACAAAATAGATGAGATAATCAACTTTCAGGAGGGAAAGTTTATTATTGTGGTTCATGGTTCCAGAGGTTTCAGTCCATGGTTACTTGGCCCTGTTGCTTCGGGCCTCTGGTGGTACAGTACATTGAGGTGGGAGCATGTGGAAGAGGTTTGTTCTCATGATGGCCAGGAAACAGAGAGAGAGGCAGAGCTGAGGTCCCAGTACCCTACCCTTTCAAGGGCACAACCCCAGTATTCTAACTTCCCTTATGCTACGCCTCACCTCCTAAAGGCGGCACTGCTTCCAATAGCACCAAGGGTTGAGGACCGGCTTTAACACCATGGGCCTTTCGCGGATACTTATCCAAACAATAGCACTGCTCTTCTGGGTCTTTTCATTCCCGCTAAACCTATCAAAAAGTCCCTTCTCTTTCTTCCCAAATTGGTTTATAAACCCTTCAAGGCAATTAAACGCTTTCCTTCAGTTTACAAATTTCACTTAACAAAAAATACAGTCACCGACTTGTGATGGTTTGACTTATTTTCGAGTTTATGATGATGTGACAGCAATATTCATTAAGCAGAAATTGTAGTTTGAAGCTCTTCCTGGGCTAGTGCTATACAGCACTATCTTCTCAGGAAGCTGGGCAGCAGATGAGCCAGCCAGCCGTGTGATCCAAGGGCAACCACCAGTGCTCTAGCTAGTGGCCATGTCGCTAGTGTTTGGATACAGGTGTTCGATATGCCGTGCCATATTCAACATAATATAAAAGAGTGTTAGATGATTTACCCTAAAGTAGGCTAATGAAAGGTTCTGAGCATGTTTATGGTAGGCTGGGCTGTGGTGTCTGTGTGGGAAATTCATTTTTTATTTGCAGTATTTTCAACCAATAGTGGTTTTTCTCAAAGACRCAACCTCATCAAAAACAAGGAGAATCTGTGGTGGGTATTTAGGAAGCAAAACCCACATTGAGCAAAACAACAAAAACCTACCTTCATATGTTTCCCTTTGGGGACTTACTGCTACACAAGTTTTATTAACAAAAAGTTTCGGGCTCTCTGCTTAACCTACCAGTTTTATGAGTTAAAGAAAGTTATCTTACACCTTAAATTTCACAATCTAACAGAGCATTGGAAGAGGGACAAGTTACCTCGTTAAAATTGATATGCTAAGATAAGAAGTTATGTGGAATATGGAGACTTTTAACTAATGATAAAAATAAAAACCTCATTCTTACAAACCAGAAGCTCTCAATTCACTTGAGTCCAGAATTGGATGTCCTAAAGCTGAAAGACCTGTATTCATTTGCATGCTTGCTCAACAGGACATGTTATAACAAGTATTTATTTAGTGTCAATTCTGGGTTAAACACTGAGCCAGGTGCTGGGCAGTGAGGTCAGCTGACACCACACTCCAGGATGAAGTGAAATCAACTTGTGTCTTGCCTCACGGGCATTCTCTTTTGCTAAAAAATATCTATTTGGTGGTGAATCACGATGACTACCCAGAGCTTAGTTTTTTAAGTCTCCTGGTGGAAAGGGAGAGAAGTTGGAAACTTTTAGGATAAAGATGTTCCATTCTGCTGCTGCGGTGGAAATCAATGGGAATCTGATGCATTTGTGACCCACACTTTCTTCCTTTCTTTAAACAGGAGCCGCTTCCTTCTTCTAGCTGAGCTGCTCCTTTTTTGCCCTCAGGCCTTATGGTCCCAATCATCACTGCACAGGCCTGTGCTCAGGGATAAGCATCTTTGACCAGTTGAGGTCCTTTTCTGAACTGTTAAAAACATGGGCAGAGAGACAGATCTTTCTTATTTGGGGGCCCCCAAAGGCAATGCTATATGCCTAGAGTTGTCTGCTAGTTCCTTCTCCCTCCTTCTCCCCACCCTGTGGTGGAAACCAGTCAATCAAAGGAAAGAATGAGGTCAACACACAGATACACAACAGAGAYATCAGATGATGTGCGAAGTCCCTGAAATCTACTCCAACTGTGGAAAAGTCATACGACCCAATAAATGTTTCCCTGCTTGTGTGTGCAATACCAGCAGAGCTCTGATTAATGTAAACTCATATGGATCCCCATTAATAATTTAGTAACTGGCAACCTAAGCCAAATTCAAACATAAAACAAAAAGGATAACAGTGCCCATAGTGGATATCCCATGTCACGCTCTTGCCACGGTGAAACAATTGAGCCACTCTGAAACATGCAAATAATGAAGCGACCTTCAAGAACATGAAGTGTTTATTTACAGCTATTATTTTTTAGTATAGTAAGTATGTTAGTAAACTAAATTCCCCCACAAATTTGTTAATTCAACAATAAAAATAGAAATTTCTCGCACTATAAACCAAAAAGAAAAAAAAAAAGAAGTCAGACAGAATATTTGTTAGAAGTAAGGGATACATCAGATAATTCAGACTCTTCAAACAGGGGGTTGCTTCTTTCTGCTTCCTTTAAGTCTTCCATCTTCACAGGGTGATTAAAATGTAGARTAAGGTCACAAAGCAATAACTGGGAGAGCTCTGAGTAAAACAAAATCATGGCAGGCATTATAGGACACATGTCATAAGTAACTCTAAGAAGCTATTCCCAATTTAGTTTTTTCAAATGATTACTGATCAAACTACAATTCAGGTGTGCCTTAGATTTATATACTACACACAGGTATGATGTAAAACTTGACTGGAAATACTTTTTAGGCCCAATAGTCAGCGATTTTCCTACACTGTTAACTATATTTTTACAAATTTGATTTGTACATTTGGGGGGGGGTGTACCAGGGATTGAACCTGGGGGCACTCAACCACTGAGCCACATCCCCAGCCCTATTTTGTAGTTTTTAAATTTAGAGACAGGGTCACACTGAGTTGTTAAGCATCTCAYTGTTGCTGAGGTTGGTTTTAAACCTGCAATCCTCCTGCCTCAGCCTGGGATTACAGGTATGTGCCACTGCACCTGGCTACATTTTTAAACATATTTAAGTTATACATGCACATAGAATCAGGTCTACAAGGCAAGTTACAAGAAATAGTTTCTCTCATTTTAACTTTGTCGCTTTTGTTGTATCATGTCCCTTCCTTTTTTTTTTTTTTTTTTTTTTTTTGGTTGGACTGAGGGAGGATTAAGTAGTTTATTCCTATATCTCTAACTGGCATTTCTTTCTAATTTGGAGGCTTGTGCCTTGTGGATATAGCTCTTTCACTCAATCCCTACTCCCCCAATAAGAGGACAGTTCTTGGTAGCTCAAATATTTAATGCTTAATTATATTAGTATTTTTTACAGCTGAGTCTTGTAAGTAGGATATGTTGTTTCTTGCAAGCTACCTCCCAAGCACAATAATTGTATTCTACTTTTTTCATTGTGTATTAGGACCATATCTCAAAGCCTTAGCAGTTCCACTGCAGCACTCTGAGACAACTGCTCTCTAGGACTGCTGTGCCATTGTGTGCGCCTAGATTGCTCCCTTCACCACTATCTTAGGGATTCCCTTTCCACCCCTTCCCTTCTGTGGAGKGGCTCTTTTTCCAGAATCTCCATGCATTTCTCTTTTGGTCTGCTACTTGTTTGGACACAGGTTCAGTAACTTCCAGGGACAAGAGGAGGTACATAATCTAAAAATTTCTCTTTATATACTAATGTCCAATTATACAGGTTGTCTACCTATAGAAATTCAAATTGGAAACTATTTCTGCAGATTTCCAAAGGCATTGCTGCACTGTTTTCTAACTTCCATGTTGCTATTGAGAATTTTTACGATATTCTCAATCCCTATCATCTTTTCAGACATTTGAATGCTTTTTTTGTTCTCTCAGTATTCTGAAATTTCACAATACTATGCCTTGGTATGTATCTATTTTCATCCATTGTGCTGGGCTCTTCCATTGTAGAAATTCCTATCCTTTGGCTCTGGGAAWATTTCTCAGATTATGTTTTCAATGAATTCTTCCTATCTATTGTCTATGTTCTAACAGTATTTATTAACTGTTGGACTTCCTTCACTGATCTTGTCACTATTCTTACACTAAAACTTTCCATCTCTGTTGTTTTGCTCTATACCCTAGGGGGATTTCTTCACTTTACTTTTCAGTCTTTCTAGAGTTTTTCACTTCTACTTTCATACTTTAATTTCCAAGCACTCCCTTTTGCTTCCTAAATATTTTTATAGTATCTTATTTCTTTTTAGTGGCTTTAGCATCTTCTCCAACTTCTCTGTGGATATTAACAGTAGTTTCCTGAAGTTTTATCTCCTTTCAAAAATTGTTTCTCTCTCACTGATTTCTAAGTTTTGCTTTTCATATTTAATGCCTTCCTCAAATATCTGTTACACCACAGTTTTTGGCAGATGTTTAAGATCATGAAAATAAAAAGAACTGGAACTCCATCTCACAGTGTTTATATTATCGCATAACCATTCTGGATTATTTTGTTGGGGGAATCTTTACTTTCTTTAGGTCTTTATTCTTAGGTGATCAMATTCCTGAAAGAAAAAAATCTGAAGGGTATAAATCTGGCTTTAAGTGTTTTGGTGGCCATTTTAGGATGTCTAACAATTTAGCATGTAAACTTTGTCTAATATCCTATTTTCAGTATAGTCCTCTTCCTAAACTGTGTCTGGTGGCTCCAGGAAGACATTCCTTGTTTTAACCATGGCTTTAATGTCACAGAAGGGGGATGGCTGCCCAGTTACAGGGCAGAAGAGACCTCAGGGATTTATGATTTCTTAACATTTAACTAGTGTTCCCAGTTATCCAGCTATGCTCCACCCACATTTCTGGACAATTCTGGGGTCACCATGTATTGAGTCTTGAGAGTTTATTTCTTGGTTGTAGCTAGACATCTTAAGAGTTCAGAATTTCATGGACGTCAGAGTTTAGACTTATTTGCCTCCCTTTGTATCTATTTTGTTGTTTTTTATTCATCTCTTAAACCATATAGATTTCTGACTCTTTATAAATTTTAAAATTAGGTCTACTACTCTTTAGTTGCTTGACTTTTGATAAAATTAACTAACCTATTTACACATCTGTCATTGTCCAATCTTATAGCATTGTTATTACAATTAAATGAATTCACTTATGTGGAGCTCTTAGAAGAATACCTAAATCATGTAAAATTCTGTTATCCATTGACACTATTATTTTGGGAAGAAGTGAGTATAAATGGAGCATCCTTTTAGTCCTTACCAGAAATTTACCCTTCTAGTCTAGCTCTTTAGGTCCTCATATACTAACTGCCTGACTACCCTACCCACACAACTTTTCAGGAACATGTTTATATTTATCATCTCTATTTACTTCTTGAAAGAATATTTCACAAATAAGCAAATCTTGGAGGAATGGAAAGACTAATTGTTTCAAATGAGTTCAAGCATCCAGAAACATTATTTTTTATTTAATAAAAATTTTCAAGAACCCCTAYCAAGAAACTGTGTTAAGTGATAGAAATACTCTTAATGAGCTTCCAGTTGGGCAGGGAGAGAAAAAGCAAATAGATACACAATTACAACACAGTATGACATGTTATAGGGAAGGGTAAAAGGAAAACATATGGGTTCAAAAAAAGCAATGTAAGTGACCTCAACAAATAAGGAGCAGTTAACCTAGTATGGAGAAGGTGAGGTGTAGTAATGGGATTTCAGAAGGCCTATGTATTAGGGCACAGACACAAAACATATGCATGGTTATGCTAATAATTCAGTATCATTKAAGCACAAAATATGCAGGGAAAAAAGGGTGAGGTTAGAAAGGGAGGCAGGGCCAGATCTCAAAAGGATGTATTATACAATCCATTCTAGGAGTCTTGGATTTCATCCTGAGGATAATGGTGAATTCAAGGAARGTTTTCAGAAGATTTTCATTTTAGGAAAAGAATCTTCACATAGTGTTGATATTTTGAGAGATAATAAAAGTTAATCAGATTTCTTTGTAACAAACTTCTCATTCTGTTAATATTCACTGTGAATTTGTGAAATATACGGTTTAAAGCACTTCCCCAACTTTTTGACCATTAGAACATATTCTGTTTTATTGCATATCATCTATTAACATCTCTTGAGACAGAAGGGTTCACAGACCAAAGTTTGAAAATGCTACCCTAGGGAGCACTTTTTGTGGGGACAAAGCAGAACAGGCACTCACTATTTGGTGCCTAACAGCCACTCCCTTCTTCTTCTTGGTGGCACAACTTGGTTCCATTTGAGATGCTCCCTTCCCCAGCTCCAGCAGTGCTTTCTGACTGGTCCAAACTGGTCTTGGCAGTCCCATTCCCCTTGACTTTGGCTGMTGTAGGAATCCGCAAGTGATGCAAATCTGGCCAATTAAAGGAGAGGGGAAATATGCTGCAGGCATCTGGGGAATGGCTTAAATAGAAACAGGCAGAGATAATGTCTGTATATGGCCATCTCTGAAGGTAATGACCATGAGCAGTGAGTGATAAAGAGAGTGAACATGACAGAGAAAAAAGATGGGAAGAATCTGGTCTCTAATGAAATCTTTAAGCCTCTGAATTCACTCTGGGGATGCCCTCCATTAGATCTAAACATTCCTTATTGCAGAAGTCACTCTAAGTTGGTATTTTATTACTTGAAGCTGGAGGACTCACCACTAATAAAGGCTATCTTCAAATATTCAAGAGTGGTAAGAAGAATAACTACATATTTGATGTAGTTTTCATGRTTAGAACAAGACCCACAGATCAAAGGAACAAGGGAACAGATTCAGCTGGTCCATAAAGAGGAACTGTCAAAAACGGGTTGGGTTGACTGGTGAGATACGGAGTTCCCCAAGACACGGAATGTCTGTTCAAGGATAGATTATCCATAGCAATAGTATATCATGGAAATTTCACATACCAAAGATAAAATAATGGAATATTTTTGTTTGGTGACTGACTAAACATGAATTATAAGKTCTGCTATCACTCTCTGAACATGGTTAAAATAAAGAATCCGTAACTCACAGAATCAAAATTCTTAATTTGGAATGCACCTTAGGGACTTAAATGAGTTCATCAATAAAGTTACAGAATTTTGTAGAATGTGTCATAATCACTGAATAGTGTGCTGAAGGAAAGGAAGAGAGGTAAATTTAGACATCAGACAACATGAGAAGCTTGTTAGTGTTAGGGATAAGAATATGGATCTTCTAATTCCTGGGTCAATGCTCAAACCTGATTCATTTTTATAGACTAGATTGTATAGATTGTACTGTCAACATTTCCTAATAGAGAAATCCAACACAAATTTGCTCTACCATTTACTTTATAACAACATGCAAATGTTTTAATTTAGTGATTTTATTCTTACCTTTCATCTTCTTCAACTCCAAAGAGATTGTGTTAATGTCTTTAATCATGGCTTCCACCTTTTGCTTATGATCAGTAACATTATTCTTAAACATCTGTTTTAAAAGAAGAAAAATGACATATAAACCAGAAGTATTTATGTGTACTTTAAAAATACTTGAACTTTTAGCATTTCTAAAAAAAAAAAAATACTTCAGAACTGATACTTTATTTTTAGGCTTAGTATCTGGCTTCATCTAACATAGAAAGACATCATCAATCTATTTTATAATATTTTTCCAAATGAAAACAACTCCTACTGGAATTCTTGGGATGGAGGTTTTGGTTTTTTCTTCTTCTTTAATTATACCATATCCACAAGATGGGGCCCTTACAATGGAAACRAAGATTGCCTCTTTTCAGAAAGCCTCAGTACTTATATACCACCTTACAATTTAGCAATTGTACAACACTCTTCCTGATTTTGTTTATGAAAGTCAATGTCTCTAATTTATTCTTGAATGACATGATCCACTTATGATTTTTTTTAAGTACACAGTAAAATCAAAATAGGATTTGATTATAACTCAGATGACAAAATGGCTACTTTAGGTTTAGGAGTTAAGCAGCACAATTTTAATTTKGGTTAATGGAAGTGTATAAGTCAACACATTACCATGTTATATACAAAGTATTTTACATGTACTTAATCCAGTCAGATACAAGTATAAAGAYACGTGATTGAATAGAAACTAACCTCAGCCCTCAGATGTCTCTCAAAATTACTAGAAAAATAACACACAATTAGCACACAATTCCTCCGCAGTGTGAAAGCTGGGCAGTTAAGGGTCAGGCTGTTTGTCCAAAATAATGAAAACTAACCTTTAAATCAATCCTTGCAACTGCCTTTTCTTGAACCAGAGGAATTTATCCTATTTCACTCACTTCAGAGACACTGTAACAGAAATAGTTTTGTTTTTCGGACATTAATCAGTAAAATGCACTTCGCATCCCCTTTTAAGGCTCTCTGTGCTACAAAGGGAGGGTCAACAACCTTAGCTAGGCATGCCAAACCAAAAGATAAAGGACTGAGGGGAAAGGAAACACGATTTTAAAAAAAGAGAAAGTAATAAAGAGGGTGGGCAGGGCTGGGGTGGTGGAACTAAAGTACTCTAAAAGCAAAGAATAAGTGTAAAAACTAAAAATTAAAAGCAAGAGTAAAACCAACTGGGTAKCGAAATGCCCAAGTGAATGGATTCCGCCCACTGGGTGTGAGTGCCCAGTGGGTGGGCAGATCCCACCCAACAGGCGACCAAGGCCAGGAAGAGTCTGGCCTTCTCCAGGGAGCTGGACACACCTGGGGCTGGGGGTGGGGGTGGTTAAACTGCGCTTCACCAGGAGGTGAGGCAAGAGGCCAGAAATGGAGACCCCGCTCTGGGGACAGCATATCGGGGTCCAGGGAAGCCAACGTGTCACAGACCAAAGGCACCCAGGCTACTGAAGCACTGGCCCTTCCYGAGGGGCAGGGTCCGCAGCAGCCAGGACCACGGCAGGTTTTCCCTAAACCCCGCCCTGTTGACCCAATCGTTGCTGCAGCCCACCCTGGCCTTCCCAGTGCCCAACTGCTGCCCAACGGCCGCCGCACCGAGGGGAAATGGATGGTTCCCCAGCCGCCCTGGATCGCAGCTGGGGGGRGTCCCTGGCCACCTGTCAGCCCAGGCCCTTCCCACCCACCTGGCCAACCGTCCCMGAAGTTCTGACTGCGAGGCCCTCTGAGCAGGCGCTGACTCAAGGCCGGCTTCCTGATTGGCCGGCTCCTCCACCTGGGGCTTCCTGATTGGCCAGCTCTACAGCCCGAGGCATCCTGGGAAGTGCAGCTCTTCGCTTCGTCACTAAGGAGAAGGTTCTGGAAGCCGGGCTGCAAGTGAACCCCTGGGTGAGGAAGGTGCTGAAGTGTCCTCCTTTGAGGCCAGACCCTGGATCCAGAGTGCTTGGTTTTGAATCCTATTCCGCCATTTGTTTAGCTGCAGTGTAGCCAGAGTCCGAATGCGCTCATCCGATCCTACGGGATGACAGCTGTCTTTGTTATTTTGAGAGTTGAGATAATTCCTTCAAAGTGCTCGGTGTTGTATAARTGCCCCATAATTATTAGCYATTATTATTCCGATACATTTTTTACAGATGAGTAAAGAGTACAGTAAGCTGAGAGGTACCGTGGTGTCTTGCCAAGCGGAGAGGCTGGGATTCAAGCCATCTTTGCTGGATTTCAAGGGGACTCCCACTCATCCCTTGGTGCTGGCCCACAGGTTTTACGTGGTGTCCTGGTTATTGTCCTAGTCTTGGTGAGGAGCTTGGTCTTCTCCAGCCTCAGRTGCTAGGAAGGTCTTCACCTTCTCTAAGCTTCCTCTGTAATGCACAGTAGCCACTTGAACCAGTGCTTTCCTGACAAGCCACAGAGTAGCCTGTTCGTTATTATTCATTTTAACAATAGAGAATTTATTATATAACCCAAAGCTGGGTGAGACACATGGGCTATACCAGTATTTTCCAGATTTCACCCAGGGATGCTTGACAAAAGCTCTTACTACTGATGTTACTATTATTACCTCGATTTAAAATTTACTTCCTTTGAAATTTTGAGTTTACTTTTAAATCTGTAGGTCATCAGTGTAAATGGAATAAAATATTAACAGAAGGTTAGAGGAAAAATAAAGAATGAAAATAAGACAGTATTTTAAATAATTAGATAAACTTGCCTCCTGATCAATGACGGATCTTTGTTAAAGGGTCTTAATGTTAGAGAAGTGTTAAAGGCAGTGAAGGAAAACGGACATTGATCTGAATAAAATCGAAGATTTTTAAAGAGCTGAAAGAGGAACAACTCTCATTGCTTGGGTATACATTGTTTAATGCCTATGTTGCCACATGTAGATATCCCTTGTATTACTTGTGGGACATGTCCCCTGCTTTTTAGAATTTAGGGTTATACACTCTCCAATAATTCTTCCCCTTCTAAGACTTCTTAATTCTCAATGTGCTGTATGTTCCTTTCAAAATCCCATAGGCAGCTTCTTGAATCAACCCTACCCAACTCTGCAGTTTCACACAAGCCTCTGTGCTGTTGCATGCTTCGCATGGTAGTTTAAATGTAAGCACTGGTGATATTTGTTTCTGTATGTGTGCTGAGTGTGTTTCATGTAATACTCTGAGTGCTGAGTAAGGTAAAAAAAAAGGCTCAACAGAACGAAACTCTTTCGATACCCACTGTGTGTCATATGTATGTCAGAAGCTTTAATTTTCTGATAATTTATGGACAAAGAAACTTAATCTTAGCTCAGTTCCTGCGCAAGGGTTCAAGGCCAGGAAAGGACAGAACCTTGTACATCCTATTTGTGAGATTCTGGGTCCTTCCATTATTTCCTCTATGATATGTTGTCTTGTAGAACAGAGTGCCACCTGCCTTGGGCTGAATTAAGGACATTAACAATACAAATAAGACAAGAGCCAGCCGGCATTGCTGTTTTATAAAAGCAAGGGTAATTTAACATCAAAACAAAAGGAAAAGTAAAAGGAAGAATACAATTTCAGAATAAGGCTAACCTAACAGAAAGTTTACCAGATATATCCTTATTTTGATGCAGACGAAAGAAAACTTCTCCCCAGACCTACAGGATTCCCTCTGTATGTTTGGAAGCACCCTGTAGATAACAGCAAAAGAAAATAAGCTATTTGAGAGAAGTTGATGAAAACAGTAGGTGAGGGAGCATAGCATTAAGACCTAGGACCCTGAAGATCAAGCGATGGCAGAGCTGGCTTAGGCAGTACGTGGTGTCCCAAGCTCCCAAGCACATGGAACTGTTTCAAGAATGAACCAGGAATTTTCAGGAATTGCCCTGCCTAACCCATGGCTAGGATCTACCTTACCAGACTCACAGAACTTTTCATGGGATCTAAAGTCTTTTCTACACTCCCCAAAGCTCTGATTTTTTTCTTATAAATAGATTCAAATGGCTGCATTTGAAACAGGACCTCATTGAGCTGTTCATTCACAAAGAAGTTTCAACTTTGTGTTTCTTTTAACTAAGTGTTATAAGAGGAAAAAACAGATTAAAAACTCAGGAAAAAAACCTATGATAATGTATTTCATCCATAAAATTATCTTGGAGGAATGATGACTACTTATTGTTGTATTTTTACCTCCTTAAACAACTATACATCTGTCTTTTTGGTTTTTCCCTAATAAGATAAAACTTTAAAAGCATGATCTACTACTTAATGCTTGAGACTATTATAGTTCAGACCCTTAAAAAAAATCTGTCTTCTTTATCAGTCTGTGAATACAGCAATTTCCTAGAACCCAACACAGGTTGTGTTGCTGTTGTTGATTCTAATGTTAATCAAATGAAGGAGATTAAAAGGCTGGTAAATTCTCCCCTAAAGAGAATGGCAGTTATCAAAACAGGGCGATTAAGCATTTTATGGAGCCAAGTCTGTGCCTCAGTTTGCTTTATTACAAATTATTGACACAAAGTCCTGGTTTCCAGGAAAACAAATTGAGTAAATTATCTCACTTCTTCCACTGGATCTCAGGGCTCCCATTTCCCTCCTCTGCCTGCTCATTATCAATTAAAAGTCCTGGCCTGGGTGTCTAAGGGCCTGCTGCTGCCAGAGTGCCAACTTCCTTCTGAACAATCCAGTCTTCACAAATTTTGGAAGTAGCAACCCCTGYACATACTTGGATTCTTACCGGAGAAGCAGGACCACCTTGGAAAGATCACAGACACCCCTCTGTATTCAACCAGTGATTTCCCCTGGCCAGCCACATAAAGGAAGCAAGAAGCAAGCAGATCACAGCCTTTGTGATCTAAAATGAAAGTTGGATTTTCCCGCCACTCTTGTCTTCAAGTAGCTGATGTTATATTAGAAGCATGTTCTTTCCCTCCAGGAGAGAAGAAAACACTCTGCAACACAAAAAGATATTACCAAAAACCTACCTTGCTCCTAGGTTAGCTGAGGTGTTTTTACTTCTAAGAAATTACAGTTCTGTATCAATGTTTCCCTCTAAAATAGGAAGCTAACCGAGTAAGGTTGCCAGGAAAAAAAAAAAAAAAAAAAAAGGACACCCAGTTAAATTCAAGTTTCAGAGAAATAACAATTGTTGTAGTACGTTTGTCCTGAGTGTTGTGTGGCACTCAGAGTCAGAAATGAAACTGGAAATCCTGCTATTTACTAAATCTGGCAAGTCTTAACCCTGCATACTTCAGCCAAGAAAGAAGAAAGGCAAACAGTRTGGAGCCCTGGGATTCAGAAGGTTTGGAAGCCTGAGATGCTGAGGCTTCCAAGGTGATGTTCAGAATAGGAGCCTGGATGCACTTACCAGGTAGCACGGGCTCTCCTCTTCCTTCTGGGTGTTTGAGACAGCRATGGACAGACGCTGATGGTTTCAACAAGGCACTGTGTTGTCACTGTTGCCTGCCTGTCTTTTTGTCTGCAAACTCTTTGTGCTTTGCTTTAGATGATGCCTTCCTCCAGCCAGGCATGTTCATGACACAAGTTGTGTTTATTTCCAGAGATCCACCAATCAGAGAACACCTGTCTCTGTCCCCAAATAAAAGCATGTTTCTAATTCTATTATGTCAGCCATCCATCCCATAATGATATTTTCTGTTTATTAAAGGCATAGATCCTGATCCAAGGTCCTCTGCCTCTGAGCACTGCCCCACCCCACACCGCACCCTCATCAGCCCGCTGTGCAATGAAGAATGAGCCTCTTTATGAAAAGATATATGACGTGTTTATGAAGTCAGTTACACTAGAATGTAAGAGTGCACTCATCTTTCCTTATGAAGAAAGGAATGTATGTGTGTGAAGGTTAAGTTTGGAAGAATTTCACCAAAATGTTAACAATCATTATTAGCATTTATGATTATAAGGTTTAAGGGGTTTTTATTTATTTGTGTTTATTTATTTAGCCCAGCTACAATTTT